GAGTTGACTATTAGACCAGATTAGGTGTTTTTATCTGTGAGGTCGTTACATTTCCAGTTGTAGCCTCGTCCCGTAATGTATTCTACATAATTCCTAACATCTTCGTAAGTGATTGAGGCAATGGAGGACTCCTACAGGGGGCGGAGCTGGGAACACACCAGGCTTGGTGAGAGCTTGATTCCAGCAAGTGTGTTTTCACGTGTGATCGCCATGTATGTTGAAGTAAGATTTTTCCGTTCTTTTTAAATAAAATAATGATCATTCGGTTCTGTTGAATGCCTGTCAGCAGTAAACCTAACCTGAGCCGCGAGCCGTGACAAGCCAGTCTGTTTCAAGGTCTCAGAATTGGCGCCTTAACTCTCTCCGCCACTCTGGGCACCCGCCAGACAGCGAGCGCGCTGCTCCAGTTTTTTGGGGGTTTTTTTCGCTGAAATTTTCAGAGCGCTTAACCGAACAAATTAAAATGACAAATGTCTTAAATCATCCGCGGTATCCGACGGCGGCTCACTTTGATCAGAGCAATCTGCTTAGGTCTGCCTGTCACAGCCGGGGCACCTGCATATCTTAATGGAAATGCTGCTCATTGATTGAAGAGTTAGGAATCAAGAGGCTTAGAGACCGGAGGCCTCCACGGGGATTCAGGCATCCTTGTCCACAAGGTGACTGCGTCAGTACCTCGGGGACGGGGGGGAGAGGTTGTGGTTGGGTAACAGGATTCAGAGGGAGGTTTTTTTTTTTTTTTCTTTTTATAGTGGACCTGTAGTGCAATAGTTTCATGGGTTACAAGAAAGACTCCATCCAAATGACCATCAAGTTCAATGTAACCCCTCGCCTACCGGGCACTTCTACCCCCTTCCTGCCTACCGGGCACTTCTACCCCCTTCCTGCCCACCGGACACTTCTACCCCCTTCCTGCCTACAGGGCACTTCTACCCCCTTCCTGCCTACCGGCACTTCTACCCCCTTCCTGCCTATCGGGCACTTCTACCCCCTTCCTGCCTACAGGACACTTCTACCCCATCCTGCCTACCGGGCACTTCTACCCCCTTCCTGCCTACCGGGCACTTCTACCCCCTTCCTGCCTACCGGGCACTTCTACCCCCTTCCTGCCTACCGGGCACTTCTACCCCATCCTGCCTACCGGGCACTTCTACCCCCTTCCTGCCTACCGGGCACTTCTACCCCCTTCCTGCCTACCGGGCACTTCTACCCCCTTCCTGCCTACCGGGCACTTCCACCCCCTCCCTGCCTACAGGGAACTTCTACCCCCTTCCTGCCTACCGGGCGCTTCTACCCCCTTCCTGCCTACCGGGCGCTTCTACCCCCTTCCTGCCTACAGGGCACTTCTACCCCCTTCCTGCCTACAGGGCACTTCTACCCCCTTTCCTGCCTACCGGGCACTTCTACCCCCCTTCCTGCCTACCGGGCACTTCTACCCCCTTCCTGCCTACAGGGCACTTCTACCCCCTTCCTGCCTACCGGGCACTTCTACCCCCTTCCTGCCTACAGGGCCCTTCTACCCCCTTCCTGCCTACAGGGCACTTCTACCCCCTTCCTGCCTACAGGGCACTTCTACCCCCTTCCTGCCTACAGGGCACTTCTACCCCCTTCCTGCCTACCGGGCACTTCTACCCCCTTCCTGCCTACCGGGCACTTCTACCCCCTTCCTGCCTACAGGGCCCTTCTACCCCCTTTCCTGCCTACAGGGCACTTCTACCCCCTTTCCTGCCTACAGGGCACTTATACCCCTTCCTGCCTACCGGACACTTCTACCCCCTTCCTGCCTACCGGACACTTCTACCCCCTTCCTGCCTACAGGGCACTGCTACCCCCATTCCTGCCTACAGGGCACTCCTACCCCATTCCTGCCTACCGGGCACTCCTACCCCCTTCCTGCCTACAGGGCACTTCTACCCCCTTCCTGCCTACAGGGCACTTCTACCCCCTTCCTGCCTACAGGGCACTCCTACCCCATTCCTGCCTACCGGGCACTCCTACCCCCTTCCTGCCTACCGGGCACTTCTACCTCCTTCCTGCCCAGGCCAATTTTCAGCTTTCAGCGCTATCACACTTTGAATGACAATTGCGCGGTCATGCAACACTGTACCCATATGACATTTTTATCACTTTTTTTAGACAGAGCTTTCTTTTGGTGGTATTTAATCACCTCTGGGGTTTTTTATTTTTTGATAAACAAACCAAAAACTACTGAAAATTTTGAAAAAAAAATGTTTTTTCTTAGTTTTTGTTATAAAATTTTGTAAATAAGTGATTTTTCTCCTTCACTGATGTGCGCTAATGAGGCTGCAGTGATGGGCACTGATAGGCGGCACTGATAGGCGGCACTGATGAGGAGGCACTGGTAGGTGGTACTGATTGGCATTGACAAACATCACTAAAGGGCACTGAAAGGCAGCACTCATATATGGCACTGATAGGTGGCACTGACTGGCACTGTTAGCTGGCACTAATGGGAAGCACTGACAGGCACTGATAGGTGGCACTGATTGGCAGCACTGATAGGCGGCACTGACTGGCACTAATAGGCAGCACTGATGGGCACTGATAGGTGGCACTGATAGGTGGCACTGGCTGGCATTGATAAATGGCACTGATAGGTGAAAGGAAGCTCAGATGGGCACTGATATGTGGCATTGATGAGCACTGACAGCTGGCATTGATGGGCACTAACAGGTGGCACTGGGGCTACACTGATCATCAGTGCCCTGATGATCAGTGTAGATGTCCCCTCTGAGGAATGCCGATTACCGGCTCTCCTCTGTCAGCGTGACAACCCGTGGGGAGAGAAATGCCGATAACCGACATTTCCCTATTTACATGTGATCAGCTGTGATTGGACATAGCTCATCACATGACCGAGCCGACATCTTCGGCTCTTTCCGTTGATCGCTGATCCGGACACAGCGCACCGCCGATCGCCACGCTGCGCGCTCCCGGAGCCGGGCACATGCGGTTAGAGTGGGAGGACGTCATATGACGTCCTCCCAGAACGAGAGAACCGCCTTGCGCCCGTCATTACCGTATACGGCGGGCGGGAGGCGGTTAAAGAGATATTAAACCCAAAACCAAAAATGTCATATATTGCAGCTTAGCAATCAGATGTGGTGGCTGCCTTAGTTTTCTTTTGTTTAGACTTTTTCTCGCTCCGTTTTCACCTGGTGATCTGTCCAGTAACACCCTTCCTGTCCTTGAGCGCCCCCACTCTGGATAAAGGAGCACAGCAGACAGCAGCATTGTCAGTCTGGGGGAAGAGGAGTCTTAGATAAAGCCAAACATCCAGCTTACACTTTATAATCTGTTGCAGCAAACATTTTTTTTTCCTTTTGGGATAAAGGTTTTGCATGAATAAATTAAAAGCTGATCATTGTCAGCACCCCTGCCAGTGTTAAATGGTTTGGCTAATCCATTTAAACATTCTGCTGGAGAGTGTATGCTAAAAAAAACAGCAGACTTGCTGGCTGGATCACTAGATGAAAACAGAAGAAAGCCTACAAAAAAGAATCCTAAAGCAGAGCTCCAGTCACACAAACAATAAAATCAGTCAGCAGCCACAAAAACTGTAGCTACTGACTTTAAATAAACAGCCACTCGCCTGTCCCACGATCCTTAGGTGTCCTCACCGCAGCCGGTTTCACCGCCCGTCCTCGCTCCCCGGTGCTGGCATCTTAAGTGTGGGCTCCCGGCTGTGAAAAATTGCGGCTTCACCGCCAGGTGCCCACTGCACATGTGCAAGCAGCACTGTGTCTTGTGAATGGTCCCCTAGTCTTCTCGGACCTGTCAAGTGTCCCAGAAGACTATGGGGAGGGAAGTGGGGGGGGGGGGACTTCCGCTTCCAATCGCCTAATCGATTGCAGCGGAAGTGGGAGCGGGTACCCGCTCCCCAAAGGTGCCAGTTCCTCATGGAATTAATCATGGATTAACCAATGGGAAGTACTCACTGCAACTAAAGGCGGAGCATTGCGAACACATAAAAGCCCATATCACTGGATTTTCCTATGTTGATTTGTTATGGCTGCAATGGTAGAATTTAGGTAGGTAGTGTGGGGGGGGGGCTCCCGCCTGTTTTTACTGCCCCTGACTAACCTACGTAAACAAGCCCTAAGATCCCAGAAAGGAATATGTTCTTGAAGGCAGCACAGTGGCTAAATGGTAAGCATGTCTGCCTGGCAGTACTCGGGTCATTGGTTCAAATCCCAACCACGGCACCGTGTTCCTGGAGTTTGCATGTTCTCCCCTGTGCCTGTGTGAGTTTCCTCCGGGTACTCCGGTTTCCTCCCACACTCCAAAGACATGCTGGGAGGTGAATTGGATCCTGTCTAAATTGTCCCTAGTATGTGTATGTATGAATGTGAGTTAGGGACCTTAGATTATACGCCCCTTGAGGGTTAGGGACCTTAGATTGTACGCCCTTGAGGGTTAGGGACCTTAGATTGTACACCCCTTGAGGGTTAGGGACCTTAGATTATACGCCCCTTGAGGGTTAGGGACCTTAGATTGTACGCCCCTTGAGGGTTAGGGACCTTAGATTGTATGCCCCTTGAGGGTGAGGGACCTTAGATTGTACGCCCCTTGAGGGTTAGGGACCTTAGATTGTACGCCCCTTGAGGGTTAGGGACCTTAGATTGTACGCCCCTTGAGGGTTAGGGACCTTAGATTGTACGCCCCTTGAGGATTAGGGACTTTAGATTGTACGCCCCTTGAGGGTTAGGGACTGATGTGAATGTACAATATATATGTAAAGCGCTGCGTACATTGATGGCGATATATAAGTACCTGAAATAAATAATAAGGTGCCCCAGGTAAATGTTTACATTACATATATGTTCTGATCATAAAAGAAGCCAGCTTGTATGTTGAAGCCTATGAAATCATGAAGGAACAGTGATATAATAAATGTGATTCTGTTTGCTTGTGTAGAGAATGGCTGACTCCCTTATATCTATATGTACTAATAAAACCATCATATTTCTCCCCCACAGGGAAGGGACCTTAAAAGTCGGTGACCGGATCCTGTGTGTGGATGGAATCTCCCTTCACAATGTTCCCCTCTCGGACGCCCTTACCATCCTCCGGCAGTGCAGCCAGGAGGCCGTCTTCCAGATCGAATATGATGTCGCCCTTATGGGTAAGATACTATCATGCTTGAAGTTGTTGAGATCAAGTCAAGACCAGGGGCGGACTGACCATTTGGAAACTTGGGCACTGCCCGAGGGCCCGGGGTCAGTAGGAGGCCCCATGAGGTGCCCCTGGTACCTTTTTCATAGGCTTTTTTGAGTTTGGGCAAGGACACAGGGGCCCCATGATCCCCTATTGCCCGGGGGGCCCTATGAGTTGTCAGTCTGACCCTGGTCAAGACACTAGAACCTTCACCTCCTTTCCATATAGAACTACTACTACTTGGAGGTATTGGTAGGCAGGCTTGAAAGGATTCCTGGTTTTGGGAGCTCTGTGAGCACTTTGAGAACACTTACGTCATATCCTTGACACATTATGGAGGCAGCTGACAAACATTGGAAGCACTTGGAAGAAAATCACCCGAATGAAACATAAAGATGCAATAAACCTCACATTAAAGGAATTGGTTGGCGTTTCCCAGCTCCTCCCCAGAGCAGTTGACATGGGCAGTGATTGTCAGGCTTCAGGTGGTGTCAGGAATGGACTCGCCAATGGTGGTGGGAGTCACCTGCCTTGTGGGCTGCAGTACCAGGGCTGGCCAGCGGGCTTCTGCAGCTCACTTCTGCAGTCAGCCATCACCTGAGGCTGATTGCAGGAGATGTATTTAAGGAATGGCCAGACCTGCAGTCAGTGCCTTGGTGTTTGTTTCCCATGTGCCCTGTTTCCTGTATCCTGTCTCCTGCCTGCTCGACTCTCCTGCTTGACTCTGACACTGATAGAACTCCGCCTGCACTGACCCCGGCTATTCCTGACCATTCTTCTGCCTGCTCCCGTTGTACCTTTCTGCCTGATTGTTCCTGACCCGGCCTGCCTGACCACTCCACCTCTCCAGCCCTGACTGCACCTGTACCTATTAGTTTAAGGTTTGTTTTGTTTTTCACTGTGTTTGTTTATTTTGTGCAGCTCATTATAAATATTATTATTATTTAATCATTTCTGAAGCCTGCTGTTTCCCTGTGTCAGTCCACACATCTCTGGTCATACCTGGATCCCTGACAGGTGGCCTGAAGTGTCAAGCTCAGTATTGAGTATAAAGTACTGGGCAAAACGCTATAATTTTCCAAAAATGAATCACCTTTTATCATTGACCCCTTCCCACCCAGCCCCAGCATCCGTTTAACAGGGTCTTATCACTGGAGGGGGGTGAATAGGATCTACCAATCACTAGCTATCGCAGTGGTTACATGATCAGGAGGTGGTCCCATTAGCTACCAGTTATTAGCAGAGACCAAGAGCTGTCTTTGATGGCTGGGAAGGTGCAATGAGCGCACACCCTCAACACAGAAAGCTCTGCCACTCATGGCCCCATAGGTGTAGCATTTTGGGCATTAAGGGCCCATTCACACTAGGAACGGCATGTGAATTGCACAGGTTCGTGCTTGTGTGCTCCTGTGCGATTTACACACAGTTCTGTACAGTGCAATTTAGGGACATTCATTTCACCTCACCAAACATAGTGCATGCTCTACTTTTGGAAATGCACTGCAGATGGATCACCTGGTACATTTGTCCCATGCAATCTGGTGCAGGCAAACACACTGTGTTTCGGGTGGTTTTAACCCCGCTGCAGATCATGTTCTTGTCTGGTTTCCAGCATGGCATTCTAGTGTGAACAGGCCCTAAAGCCTACCCTCTTTGCCACCACAAATGTGCATTACCTGGGTGGCAAGCTCCAGTCCAGCGACTTTGCCTTGGCTGAGATGATGCCATCAGTCTGCTGCAGGCAAGCCCAATCATTTATTCTATCTGGGAAGGAAGCGGAAGTAGGGCGCTGGGTATGGCTCGCAAGCTTGACAAAGCGCATGCTCGTGAAACGCATTGTTGTGTTTACCAGCCAAGCTTGCGAGCCATACCCAGTGCCCTACTGCCGCTTCCTCCCCGGTTGCAGTGACGTCGCTTCTGGAGCTCCGAGATCCCCGGCTTGTGCAGGAACTCATTGAAGACACCATCTCTTCCCAGTATGGGAGCGGACATTCCATCTTCACAGCCTGGGCCTTACCATTGCCTTGGATGTTGTTTGGACATATTGATAAAGTTTTTACACAATAAAGACACACCTCTATGTGAGGTTTATACTGATTCAAAGCCACAGTCTCCTCAGCGCTGACCTTTGGCATTTATCTATTACTTCCTTCAGTGTGACTATAGCAGCGGTGGACAAGTGGCTCCCATATTTAGGCCGTGGGGAAAATCGGCCATTAAAAAAAAAAACAAATCGTAAATCGGTCGTTCAGACGGCCGACGTTGTCACTAATTAAAAAAAAAAGTTGGTGGGTTTTAGTCCCGTCTACGGCCGTCAATTAATATAATAGCAGTGTCCCTGCATAGAGACCAGCTATTATATTTGACAGAAGAAATAGATTATGTGGAAGAAGAAGAGAAACAGCATTGTATCTATTTGTACTTGAAAAGAAACATCTGTATCCGAAATGCATACAAATAGATACAATGTTGCAACTTTTTTTCTTCTCTGTCTTCTTCTGCAAAATCTATTTCATCTTCTCCTCTTTTCTTCTATTCTTCTTCTTGATATTTTATTTCTTCTTCTCCTGCAAAATCTATTTCTTCTATTACTTCTTTTTCTTCATAGTCAATTTATTGTCAAATCGGCCAGAAGGACGGCCGATTTGACCATAAATTACCGTGAAAATCGGCCGATCTAACAAATCGTCACAGGATTTTCCAGCATGGACGATTTTCAAAATCTCTTAAAATTAAGAAAAATGGCCGACCTTTTTCGCCACTAACGGTACGAATATCGGACGATTTTTTTTTTTATCGGCCGATGATTGGGCAAGAAAATCTGAAATCTATGGCCTGCATTAGACTTCTTGTTCCGACATTGCTGGATACGCATATGCTGGATAAAATAGTTCTCTTTAAATGCTAAATATTCAGATCCAGAATGACTGGTTCCCTTTTAGACCCAACATTTCATACTCCCTTTACACCGCTTCTTCAGGTAGCCCTGGATACAGATTGCACTTGGTAGAGATCTTGAAGTACTGTACTATTCCACAGACTAGTACGGGTCACAAAATCCTGGCACTCTCCCCTCTTCATATTCCGCTACCATAATGAGAATTATTCGCTATCTCAGGACAGTACAGGTCGATGGGAGCCAAGCGTTCCTCCATGCTGATCTCTTGGCGGCCGGGGCAGGTCGAACGCCAGTGTTCTGATAACTCTCACTAGAAGTCATTTAACAGACTGCGGCGCTCCAAGGCACAATCGCTCTGTTTCCATCCCATGCAGGAAATTAATTGATTGGACCGGATTCAGCTTTGCCTCCATGGACTTACCCGGAGAACATGTAACTCCTTCAGGACTGGACCTCCAGCATGCTACTAAGTTTAAAAGTACAAAATGTTTTATCGCCAAAAGCTGTTTATTTGGTTTCATCAGCTGATAGACGACGTTTTGCCTGCTCAGAGCTGAATTCGTAAGAATAAAAACAGTCAAGGAAAGCACTGCATAAGGGGCTTGTACTTGCTTCAGATGGATTTTTACATTCCCATACAAGTCTACTGGGATGCAAACCCTGCTTTACAGGTCATGTGCAGCCCAGAAGGACATCATCAGGTCACATGTACCTGTCATTAAGGCCGACACACCTGCCCAGGGGGGGATGCAGAGCGCAGGGGGATGCAGAGTGTAGGTAGTTGCTGGGGTAGGTATACAAGTGAGGAGTAATGCAGGTACAGATAGAGTATTGGAGACGTAGGTGGTGCAGACTGGGTAATGGGAAATGGGTATAGAGTAAGGTGGGGGGGGGTTAATGGGGGTGCAGGGTGTACAGAGTGTGGGGTAATGGGTAGGGCCACTGATGGGGGGGGGGGGGGTATTAGGAGGTGGCGTCCTGTTGGGTTGGCTGTATGGGGCCCAGGGGCGGACTGACCGTTTGGAAACTTGGGCACTGCCCGAGGGTCCGGGGTCAGTAGGGGGCCCCATGAGATGCCCCTGGTACCTTTTTCATAGGCTTTTTTGAGTTTGGGCAAGGACACAGGGGCCCCATGATCCCCTATCGACCGGGGGCCCCATGAGTTGTCAGTCCGCCCCTGCACTGGACTGCACATAGTGTGAACTAGCCCTAAGGATGCAGAACTGTACCCCCCTCCTTTGTCATGCCCGGCCCCTTGCTCCGGCTGACCATGGCTGGCATGAAGTGCGCACTACACACACACGTGGCCAATTGTTTACTTTTTAGCAGCTAGAAGGTAGATGTGCATTCACTTTTGTGTCAGCTGTGGCTGGATGGAGTGGAGAGCGGGCACGTGGGAGCACAATGTGACAGAAGTCAGAGCAGACATAAAACCACAGCCTTGAGTTGTCAGTCCACCCCTGCACCTGCCTGTGCATTCCTCTTACTGTTGCCTGGCTTGGGAAAGTACTCAGAGACGAGGCAATCTGCTATGAATCAGCCGTCTCCTTCATAGCTGTTGTTCACATGGAGAAGGTCAGACATATTAAAGTGGAGCTCCACTCACGCTGTCAAAAAATAAGTCAGCATCTACAAAAACTGTATCTGCTGACTTTTAAAAAAAACAGCCACTTACCTGTCCCTCGGTCCCGTGGTGTGTCCCCTGCAGGCCGTTTCACCGGCCGTCCTGGATTCCTGGAGGCCGGCATCTTCAGTGTGGGCACCCGGCTGTGATAGCTTGCGGCTTCACACCCGGGTACCCACTGCGCATGCACGGGTAGCGCTGCGCTTCATGAATGGTCCTGTAGTCTTCTGGGACCTGTCACGTGTCCCAAAAGACTACAGGAAGGGAGGGCGGGAGGACACCTTCTGTTTCCAATCTCCTAGGCCAGTGATCGGCAAGCCGCGGCTCTTTACACACATTAATGCGGCTCTTCTGTGTGCCGGGCGCCCGCTCCCCTCCCTCCTCTCGGGCGGCCGCCCCAAAAGTCAGGACTCTGCAGCTAGCCCAGCAATGGGCAAACTACGGCCCGCATACGTCCCGGCGGACCTTTTAATCCGGCCCGCAGACGTGGCAAACATTGGCTGTCAGGATGTAGGCGGGGCAGCATGACGAACTCCTCTCACAGTCCGCCCTGAAGACCGGAACGGCGCGGGAACACGGCGAGAGGAACGTGCGGAGCAAAGGTAAGTGAATTGACACAATATGGGGAATGAATTACTATATGGGGGATGAATTACTATAGGGGGGATGAATTACTATATGGGGGATGAATTACTATGGGGGATGAATTACTATAGGGGGGATGAATTAATATGGGGGATGAATTACTATAGGGGGGATGAATTACTATAGGGGGGATGAATTACTATGGGGGATGAATTACTATATGGGGGATGAATTACTATATGGGGGATGAATTACTATGGGGGATGAATTACTATATGGGGGATGAATTACTATGGGGGATGAATTATTATAGGGGGGATGAATTACTATATGGGGGATGAATTACTCTAGGGGGGATGAATTACTATGGGGGATGAATTACTATGGGGGATGAATTACTATAGGGGGAATGAATTACTATAGGGGGGATGAATTACTATATGGGGGATGAATTACTATATGGGGGATGAATTACTATGGGGGATGAATTACTATATGGGGGATGAATTACTATAGGGGGAATTAATTACTATATGGGGGATGAATTACTATAGGGGGGATGAATTACTATAGGGAGGATGAATTACTATATGGGGGATGAATTACTATGGGGGATGAATTACTATATGGGGGATGAATTACTATATGGGGGATGAATTACAATATGGGGGATGAATTACTATATGGGGGATGAATTACTATGGGGGATGAATTACTATATGGGAGATGAATTACTATGGGGGATGAATTACTATATGGGGGATGAATTACTATATGGGGGATGTATTTTCAGTTTTAAAAATGTGGCTCTCAAAATAAATTTCAAACGTGGTTTTGGCGAGATTTGGCTCAGTTGAAAAAAAAGGTTGCCCACCACTGGCCTAGGCGATCCGACCGGAATTGGGAGCCGGTACCTGTCAAATTTGGGTATCCGTTTCCCCCCCCCCCCAAAGGTGCCAATCCTTAATGGGGAGTGGGGGGAGCAGTCCTTAAAATGGAACTTCCCCTTTTGGGTGGAGCTCTGCTTTAATTAGGGTTAGAAAGCACTTGGCAACATGGGAGAAATTGCTACATCATGTACTTTGTCCCAAAGGGGGCAGAACTGTAAAATGAAAATGATAACGATATTTATTATTATTATACAGGATTTATATGGCGCCAACAGTGTGCGCAGCGCTTTAAAAAATGAAGGCAGACATTACAGTTACAATAGAATTTGGTACAAGAGCAAACACAGGGCCCGGCTCCTGGGAGCTTCCAATCTAGGAGGAAGGGTTGAGTGATACAAAAGGTAATAGCTGTGGGGGAGGAGCTGATGGAGGAAATAAATGGCAGTTTACTAGGTAGAAGCAGGATAGGCTTCTTTAAAGAGGTTTTCAGGGACCGTCTAAAGGTGGATAGATTAGATAGCCGGACAGATTGGGGTAGGGAGTTGGCTAGGTGTCCTCAGCACACACGTGTTTCCACCCTGCCCCCGGAAGTCATCACACGCAGGTGAAAGCCATCCCATACCCAGAGGAGGGACCTCTCATCCAGGGAGCAGCACCCGTGTAACCCCTTGGGGGACACTCTGGTGGATGTGAATTACCCCCCTTTTCTCTCATCTCCTGGGAACCTGTTGATGACAACCCAACCCCCAGAGGGAGGATACCCCATATTCAGGGGCGGACTGACCATTTGGAAAGTTGGGCAGTTCCCGAGGGCCTGGGGTCAGTAGGGGTCCCCATGAGATGCCCCTGGTACCTTTTTCATAGGCTTTTTTGAGTTTGGGCAAGGACACAGGGGCCCCATGATCCCCTATTGCCCGGGGGCCCCATGAGTTGTCAGTCCACCCCTGCCCATATTCCTGGCTTGCTGTGAGGATCGATTGGATTTGATACAGGCGCATTTATTATGCGCATCCGGTGAGTGCGCAATTTATAGATCACCTGCACAGTCACCGATTCCAGGAAGCAAGCACCTTAATTGAGCACCTCTATATTTGTGGAAACAACTAGAAAGTGGAATATTCATACTGACTTTTATATTTATAATTATATTTATTCAAATTCATGTATTTCACTCATCAGGTTTATATACAATTTTATATATAATGTTATTATATATCTTTTTAGCGCTGCACTTATTTTATGCTGATTTCACCAAGGATTTTGCCATGGTGTGTTCCGTGTTTACCCATGATCCTTCTCTCCTAGACACTGTGACCAACGCTTCAGGACCCCTACTGGTGGAAATCGCCAAGACCCCTGGCTCCACATTGGGCATTTCACTGAGCACGAGCACCCATCGGAACAAGCAGGTGATAATCATCGACAAGGTTAAGCCGGCCAGCGTGGCGGACAGGTGAGCGGTCATTGCTGTTCTGGTGACGGTAACGTCCTCCTAGGCCATTCCCTATGACATCTCTGATTTATTTTTTTTCGCAATGTCCTTCTCTTGTCCTGCAGTTGTTCTATTGATATAAAATGACCGCATGCAAAAAGTCTATATAGTACAGTATAGTGGCTCTCACTCTTTTGCACGGTCAAGATCAATTGGCTACTTTCTGATCTGATTTTGAGCAGAATGTTGAAACAAATACATTTAAATGGGTAAATTCAACATGTTACCAAAGAGTATCTGCTGCACCCTTCTGATCCCCTGCTGTGACAGTGAGCGGGGGATCTTCTCCCTGCACCCGCTGTCTCTATTTAAAAAGAGCACAGCCATGGAGGACTACACCCAGAGGTGTATTTACCACAAGGCAAACAAGGCATTTGCCTAGGGCGGCATTTTTCAAGGGGGCAGCACAGAAGAGGGGACGCACGCGGCCACCTGGTGGGTTCCAAGAGAGGCTGCGGGTTTCATGACAGTGTATGCACAGCCTGACTCTCGTTCCTGGGGATGTCCGGAGCTGTGAAGATGTGTCTTTCCTCTCTCTCACCGTCCGTGGGCGATGGTGGCTGGTGTATGGGGGGCAGTGGTAGTAGAAAGGTTTTCTAGAGCGGGGGGGGGGAGACACTGATTTTTGTGTTGCCTAGGGCAGCACAGAACTTACATACACCACTGACTACACCCGCACAGCTGCATTATTCATTCTCAGCGATGTGTGAATGAATGAACTACAAGTACCGTCCACCACTACAGCAGACGGCTTGTAGCTGTCAATGAACTATGAAGGTGCCGGTGAGCGCTCCGATCTCCAGTAACTGTCTGCCGGTATCAGTGGTATGGGCAGACCGCTTTTGTTTTTAAGGTGAACTTCCATTTAAAGTGGTTGTAAAAGATAAAAAAAATAAACATCAAATGATTAAAACATATGTTTTGATTTTATTTTGTTTAATATATTGAAATATTTTATGAACGATTTGTTAAGTTACTAATTTTGGTTTGTTGCATTCGTAATGAAATTCATTTCATTTAGTTAATTCGTTTTCAACAGGATTAAAATTTTCCCAATGGAATTGAAGTATTCTAATCAAATTTGAATGAAAAATAGTGAATTGATCCAAATTCATTGTGAAGAATTGCTGGTTGTATTCGAAATTCAAATTTTGGAAGGGGTTTTATTCTATTCTGTTTTTTTCTATTCTATTTTATTCTTTTATATTCTGTTCTATTTTTATTTTCTATTCTATTCCTTTATTTTCTCTTCTATATTACTCTAATCTATTCTATTTTTTTTATTCTATTATTTTATGTTTTATTCTGTTCTTTTATTTCACTGTTTTTACTTTGTTCTATTCTTTTCTGTTCCATTTCTTTATTTTCTATTCTGTTTTTTTGTTTATATTTTATAATTTTTTATTCCATTCTGTTTTAGTCTATTCTATTTCTGAAGACGGCTATATTCTTTCTATTTTATTCTATTCAAATCTATTTTTTTCTATTCTGTTCTTTTATATTCTGTTTTATTCTGTTTTTATTCTTTTTTTTTTTTTTTTAAAATTCTAATTTTGGAAGATGGCTATATTCTAACAATAATACAAACAATCTTTGAAGGAAGTCATCCATAGTAAACAATATGCTTACATTTGAATTTAATTTCACACTCTATTTCAATTTCGAGTTTGATTCTAATTCAATTTGAATTTCAGATGAAATGTTGTCATTATATCAGATTTGTTTAAATGTGTTACAATTGTAATTTGGATACATCTGCATCTCCAAATAAAGAGAACTTTGAAACTAAATGAACCGCACACATCTAGGCACAAATGCACATTCATCCCAGTGTGGTCAGTTTTCTGGCTGTGCTGGGAGAACAGCCTGCCTGTCCTCCAATGATCAGACTTGGGCTGACAAACCCCCCACCACCACCACCTATGCACAGTCATTCACTGTGAGGTTCAGTGTACTGCTGTTTCTCCACCCCCAGCTCTCTAAGTTCCTTATGCAGCTGAGAACAGAGAGTGAGATCAGGTTTAAAGAAAAAAAAAAGAACAGGTATTTATAATGTTGTTTTATATATATATATATATATATATATTTATATATATATATATATATATATATATATTACATTAGGTATGTATGTGTGTGTGTGTGTGTGTGTGTGTATATATATATCTCAGAGGCGGACTGACCATTTGGAAACTCGGGCACTGCCCGAGGGCCGGGGGTCAGTAGGGGGCCCCATGAGATTAGCCCCTGGTACCATTTTTCATAGGCTTTTTTGAGGTTGGGCAAGGACACAGGGGCCCCATGATCCCATATTGACCGGGGGCCCCATGAGTTGTCAGTCCGCCCCTGATATATATATACAGTCATGGCCGAAATTGTTGGCACCCTTGATATTTCTCCAGGAAATCATGTATTTCTCACGAAACGTATTTGCATTAACACATGTTTTGCTATACACATGTTTATTCCCTTTGTGTGTATTGGGACAAAACAAAAAAAGGGAGGAAAGAAAGCAAATTCGACATAATGTCACACAAACCTCCAAAAATTTTTGGACAAAAGTATTGGCACCCTTTCACAACTGCGGATAAATAAGAATGTTACAAGCATGTGATGCTCCTGTAAACTCACCTGGGGCAAGTAACAGGTGTGGGCAATATAGAAATCACACCTGAAAGCAGATAAAAAGGAGAGACGTTCACTTAACCTTTGCATTGTGTGTCTGTCTGTGCCACACTAAGCATGGACAACAGAAAGAGGAGACGAGAACTGTCTGAGGACCTGAGAACCAAAATTGTGGCAAAATATCAACAATCTCAAGGTTACAAGTCCATCTCCAGAGAACTAGATTTGCCTTTGTCCACAGTGCGCAACATTATCAAGAAGTTTGCAACCCATGGCACTGTAGCTAATCTCCCTGGTCGTGGACGGATGAGGAAAATTGATGAAAGATTGCAACGCAGAATAGTCCGGATGGTGGATAAGCAGCCCCAAAACATGTTCCAAAGACATTCAAGCTGTCCTGCAGGCTCAGGGAGCATCAGTGTCAGCGCGAACTATCCGTCGACATTTAAATGAAATGAAACGCTATGGCAGGAGACCCAGGAGGACCCCACTGCTGACACAGAGACATAAAAAAGCAAGACTACAGTTTGCCAAAATGTACTTGAGTAAGCCAAAAGCCTTCTGGGAAAACGTCTTGTGGACAGATGAGACCAAGATAGAGCTTTTCGGTAAAGCACATCATTCTACTGTTTACCGAAAACGGAATGAGGCCTACAAAGAACAAAACACAGTACCTACGGTAAAATATGGTGGAGGTTCAATGATGTTTTGGGGTTGTTTTGCTGCCTCTGGCACTGGGTGCCTTGACTGTGTGCAAGGCATCATGAAATCTGAGGATTACCAAAGGATTTTTTTGGGTCGCACTGTAGGGCCCAGTGTCAGAAAGCTGGGTTTGCGTCCAAGATCCTGGGTCTTCCAGCAGGACAATGACCCCAAACATACGTCAAAAAGCACTCAGAAATGGATGGCAAAGAAGCGCTGGAGAGTTCTGAAGTGGCCAGCAATGAGCCCAGATTCTAAATCCCATTGAACACCTGTGGAGAGATCTTAAAATTGCTGTTGGGAAAAGGTGTCCTTCCAATAAGAGAGACCTGGAGCTGTTTGCAAAGGAAGAGTGGTCCAAAATTCCGGGTGAGAGGTGTCAGAAGCTTATTGATGGTTATAGGAAGCGACTGATTTCAGTTATGTTTTCCAAAGGGTGTGCAACCAAATATTAAGTTAAGGGTGCCAATACTTTTGTCCAGCCCATTTTTTGGGTTTTTGTGTGACATTATGTCATATTTGCTTTTCTGCCTCTGTTTTATATTTGTTCCAATACATACAAAGGGAATAAACATGTGTATAGCAAAACATGTGTTAATGCAATACCTTTTTTTTGTGAAATACTTGATTTTCAGGAAAAATATCAAGGGTGCCAACAATTTTCGGCCATGACTGTATATATATTTTTTTTTATGTATTTTTGTTTTATGTATTTTTGTTTTTGTGTGTGTGTGTTTTATTTTTTTTTATTTTATTTTATATATATATATTTTTAATTTTTTTTTTTTATAATATCTATTTTTTTATTATTATTATATGTTTTTATTTATTTTTATTAATTTTTTTTTGTCTTTCATTTTTATTTTAAAACTGAATAGATTGGTTTACAAGGCAAGGGTTCACATAGACTTTAAACCTGACCCATCATCCTCTATTTCTAAATCTACAATTGTTTTATTGGGGGCAGAACCTCCCAGCACCAAAGGCTCCCTCTCCTGCATGGAGATCTCCTTGCCCCAAGATCTTAGTCCTGAAAACCAGGGATTCTGGATTTTAGAGGGACAATTTCATGATAAAGTAGGCTGCTATATTTTTATCTTGGGATACAAAAGTAGGGAAGAGCAAAAACTTTTTTTTTTTTTGCATCTAGAACTCTGTAATATACCGTCTTATCTTCCCCATCTATTCCTCTTCCAGGTGTGGAGCGCTGCACCCCGGAGATCACATCCTGTCCATCGATGGCACCAGTACAGAGCATTGCACGGTGATGGAGGCCACACAGCTCCTGGCCAGCACCATGGAGAACGTCAAGCTGGAGATCTTGCCAGTCCATCACAGCCGGCTGTCTCTCCGGCCACCAGAGACCGGTCAGTGGATGCCGCTTTGCCCCTGTGGGGTAGTGATGAGATCTGTAGTAGAGGATGGAGCTAGGCGAAGGTCGAGCTCAGCTGCCTGCAGTCACTTTGCAGAGGGAGAAGTTCTCTTCATTCGGATCCTGTCATCCGTGAAGGGTTGTTATTTGACAGGGCAAGGTTGCAGCAGAGCAGTGTAATAACGTAGCCTGCTTTGTATGGGCAGCTCTGTAACCCTCTCCTGTCCTCCCGTATGAACGGCCAATCCTTACCAAGTCTAACACTAGTACAGCTTCTGTATAAAGGATTTATTAATATTCACTTTGATGGGAGAGCGCCAACATCATCTGCAGTGCTGCACAAATCTAGGGCACACAGAGGCTGTAAGAAAACATTGGAACACAGAAGGGAAAAGGGGATACATACAAGATGGATACGCAGGCAAATTCCTACCAGGGGATTTTTTTTTTTGTTAAAATCAGCATTTTTTTTTTTTTGCTAGAGAATTGCTTTGAATCCCCAAACAATTAATAATTTAATTAAATCAAAGACCCTGGAGAATAAAATAGAGGCAGTTTATTTTTTTTGTGTTGTAGGATATTTGCATAACTGTTTATCAAACACATATTTTCAGAAAATAATACACTAAAATGGATTTTAATACACACAAATACAACAGATTACCCTTTTTTTTGGTAAAAATATATAATATGGGGTTGACGGGTACCAAACATGCCAAGCCTTAAAATTGTGTGCACCAGCAAACTGCTGAAAAAAAAAACAAAACAGGGTACTTAAAATAGTCCATAGGCGACACTTTAACCACTTGCCATCCGGCCGCTGTATATAAACGGCCGGACGGTGGCAGTCCAGGGGCGGGTTGCCATTCATAAACGGCACCCGCCATTTTGGACTGTGCGCACTCCCTGGGAGCGCGCAGCACTGCGATCCGGTCCCCGCCGTGTCCTCTGGACACAGTGGAACACCAATTGTCATATGGGACCTCTGTGTGAGGTCCTGATCATGTGATCACCAGGGGTGGTCTGACCATTCAGGCTCTCAGGCAGTGCCCGAGGGCCCAGGGTCAGTAGGGGGGGGCCCCATGAGATGCAGTTTCATAGACTGTTTTGGGTGTGGTTTGAGTGAGGGCGAGGACACGGGCCCCATGATCCCCTGTTACCTGGGGGCCCCATGAGTTGTCAGTCCGCCCCTGGTGATCACTGATGGGCCAATCAGTGATCACATGAATAGGTGTAAGCAAGATGTCACTTCTGACGTCATTGCTTACTACGTGTGACATCTGTGAATGATCAATGAGGTCACATGGTACAGGGCTATTCACAACAGCCTTGTACCACGTGACAAGCTGTGACCAATCACAGCTGACACAGTAGTTCTCAATGGCTGCAAGAATGCAGCCAGAGAGAAGGAAAAATTATTGCTTTTACAGCCTTTATGGGGTGTAAAAGCAATCAGTGTAAAAAAAAAAAAAAATCTTCATCACCCCCCACAAGTAGTGCAGTGTCACCATGGTGACACTGTACTGCTAGGGTGACAGTATGTAGAAAAAAAACACATAAATATTAATATAAAAAAATAAAAACAAAATGCAAAAAACAAATGTTAAAAATTATAATTTTTGGTTATAAACTAATTTGGGTTACTTTTTTTTTTACTAAAAAGGTAACGGAATAAATTTGGCCAAGATTTATGATGAAATAGCAATTATTTGCAAATTTTATAAGAAAAGCACTTTTTTTCAACATTTTTTGACTTTTTCATTTATATAGCAAAAAAAAAAAAAAAAATCCCTGTGGTGAATAAATACCACCAAAATAAAGCTTTATCTGTCTCAAAAAAATGCTAAAAAATTCATATGGGTACAGTGTTGCATGACCGCCGCAATTGTCATTGTGATAGCACTGACAGCTGAAAAATTGGCCTGGACAGGAAGGGGCTGAAAGTGTCCGGACTGGAAGGGGGGAAAAGTGTCCGGACTGGAAGGGGGGAAAGTGTCCGGACTGGAAGGAGGTGAAAGTGTCCGGACTGGAAGGGGGGGAAAGCGTCCGGACTGGAAGGGGGGGAAAGTGTCTGGACTGGAAGGGGGGGAAAGCGTCCGGACTGGAAGGGGGGGAAAGCGTCCGGAACTGGAAGGGGGGGAAAGCGTCCGGACTGGAAGGGGGGGAAAGCGTCCGGACTGGAAGGGGGGGGGGGGAAAGCGTCCGGACTGGAAGGGGGGGGAAAGCGTCCGGACTGGAAGGGGGGGAAAGCGTCCGGAACTGGAAGGGGGGGAAAGCGTCCGGACTGGAAGGGGGGGAAAGCGTCCGGACTGGAAGGGGGGGGAAAGCGTCCGGACTGGAAGGGGGGGGGAAAGCGTCCGGACGACTGGAAGGGGGGGAAAGTGTCCGGAACTGGAAGGGGGGGAAAGCGTCCGGACTGGAAGGGGGGGAAAGTGTCCGGACTGGAAGGGGGGGAAAGTGTCCGGACTGGAAGGGGGGGAAAGTGTCCGGACTGGAAGGGGGGGGGGGGAAGTGTCCGGACTGGAAGGGGGGGGAAAGTGTCCCGGACTGGAAGGGGGGGGAAAGTGTCCGGACTGGAAGGGGGGAAAGTGTCCAGACTGGAAGGGGGGGAAAGCGTCCGGACTGGAAGGGGGGGGGGGAAAGCGTCCGGACTGGAAGGGGGGAAAGTGTCCGGACTGGAAGGGGGGGAAAGCGTCCGGACTGGAAGGGGGGGAAAGCGTCCGGACTGGAAGGGGGGGGGAAAGCGTCCGGACTGGAAGGGGGGGAAAGTGTCCGGACTGGAAGGGGGGGAAAGTGTCCGGACTGGAAGGGGGGGAAAGTGTCCGGACTGGAAGGGGTTAAAGCCCTATACGGTTTATCAGCTTAGAGTTAACAGTGAACTATGGCTGTAGAATTATTGCCCCCATGCTGACGTTCGTGGCAACAGCTCACATGTGTGGCATGATTGCTGATTGCACATGAGCGTTTGCATTCAGGTGTATACATGGAGTACTATTACATTATTTTAAATTTTTATTATATTTCAGTTTTTTTAAACACTTTTTTAAACTTTGACTTCATTGCTAGTGCAAGAGCGCTGACAAGCCCCATATGTGATAGCATTGGGCAGGTAACCGGTTCTCTCTTTAGAGACATCAGGACTCTTTTAAACCCCTTGTGTCTCTTCTGACATCTGCTGAAGTGATTTTTAACACACAGATCGTGCTCCCAGGATACCTACAGACGCCCTTCTATGTTTTGGTGCTTACGAACGTAATTTTTCAAGGGGCTGTAGGAAGCACACATGTGGAAGCACTGACTGAAAAAGGGCTGTAATAGCAGTGATTTCTAGCAGTCTCCAGTCTATGATTCTGATGCATTTCTTCAGTCTCCAAAAACACACCTATAGCATGTCTGCTGTCTCTGACCATCTCTTGTAGCAAGTCCATAGTCTCTGACCATATCCATTAGCATGCCCATAGTATCTGACCATCTCTCGTAGCATGCTCGTAGTCTCCTGATTATTTCCAGTAGTATGCCTGTAGTCTCTGACTATCTCCACTAGCATACCCATAGTCTCTGAACATCTCTTATAGCATGCCCATAGTCTCCTGACTATTTCCAGTAGCATGCCCATAGTGTCTGACTATCTCCACCAGCATACCCATAGTCCCTGAACCTCTCTTATAGCATGCCCATAGTCTCCTGGCTATTTGCAGTAGCATGCCCATAGTCCCTGACTATCTCCACCAGCATGCCCATAGTCTCTGAACCTCTCTGATAGCATGCCCATAGTCTCCTGGCTATTTGCAGTAGCATGCCCATAGTCCCTGACTATCTCCACCAGCATGCCCATAGTCTCTGAACCTCTCTCATAGCATGCCCATAGTCTCCTGGCTATTTGCAGTAGCATGCCCATAGTCCCTGACTATCTCCACCAGCATACCCATAGTCCCTGAACCTCTCTCATAGCATGCCCATAGTCTCCTGACTATCTCCATCAGCATACCCTTAGTCTCTGAACCTCTCTTATAGCATGCCCATAGTCTCCTGGCTATTTGCAGTAGCATGCCCATAGTCTGACTATCTTCACTAGCATACCCATAGTCTCTGAACCTCTTCTCTCATAGCATGCCCATAGTCTCCTGACTATTTCCAGTAGCATGTCCATAGTCTCTGACTATCTGCACTAGCATACCCATAGTCTCTGAACCTCTCTCATAGCATGCCCATAGTCTCCTGACTATCTCCAGTAGCATGCCCATAGTCCCTGACTATCTCCAGTAGCATGCCCATAGTCCCTGACTATCTCCACTAGCATACCCATAGTCCCTGACTATCTCCACTAGCATACCCATAGTCTCTGAACCTCTCTCATAGCATGCCCATAGTCTCCTGACTATTTCCAGTAGCATGTCCATAGTCTCTGACTATCTGCACGAGCATACCCATAGTCTCTGAACTTCTCTCATAGCATGCCCATAGTCTCCTGACTATTTCCAGTAGTATGCTCATATTCCCTGACTATCTCCACCAGCATTACCCTTAGTCTCTGAACCTCTTTCAAATCCCCGCCGCTTTCTCTCCTCATCATAGTATACATCCCCACCATCTCCGCTCAGCATGGGATCCCTGCAGGGAGTTTTCCTGCACCGCTCCTGTGTGAACTCAGGCTATGGCAAGCAGTGGGGAAACCGCATGAGATTTGGACAGGAATCGCATTCGTATCCAAATCGCATGCTAATCTTTGCAATTTGTATTGATGCAAATCGCACTGCAAAGTATCCGTTTCCGGTATCTGGAGCACTTTTACAAGTACGCGAATACTGCGGAAAATACTTACTATTGGCACCGATACCAGTATCAGTAGCGGTACATCCCTACCACAGACGTTAGATGAACCCTTTGACATCCTTCCTAGGTCGTTGTGGATTGTTAGGAGAGTGCAGCAAGATTATATTCACAAGATTTAAAAAAAAAACAAACAAACAAAAACCTATGGTTGAATAGTTTAGTGCAATGGTCTTCAAATTGTGGCCCAGGGATCGGATGTAGCCATTTGATTGCTTTTTTTTCCGCTCCTTGGGGCCACTGATAGGAGACACTATTCTTCCCACTGACACCAATAATGGGGCATAATTCCTAGCACTGACAACACCGACGGGGCACTATTCCACCCCTAATATCAAAGCTGGGGCACCGTTCACTCCCACTGACAGTAAAACCCTCACTGGCTGCCATCTGCCCCCCCCCCCCTTCCCCAAAGTCTGAAGGACAATAAGCTGGCCCTTTGTTTAGAAAGTTTGGAGACCCCTGGTTTAGTGTACCCCTTTTTTTCCTCCCAGTTAAGGTACAGAAGAGTGAACACCACCACTGCTGGGACCCCTGTGTCAACTACTGCCATACCCACCTTCCCGGGCACTGCAAGACCCCTACTTGGAATCCTCCTTCTAATCAAGAATACTGCAAGTGTGAGTACACCCCACGTCTCATGCCTGCTACACTACAGGACACTAGAATGGTTTTCTATGAAATCCAGACAATTGGCAATAGTTCCATATATATATATATTTTTTTTTTTTTTCTCTCCTCCACTGAAATTTCTAACTTTGACACAGTGAGCCTCTCATTCAAATGCAGACCACCCTAGATAACTCCCACATGTGATGCTGAGCCTCCATGATTGAAAGAACTGAAATCCAATGAATGGAAGGGCCGGGTTAGGGACAGTCAGGCTGGGGAGGAAAGCACTAGATCAGGGGTGTCAAACTGGCGGCCCTCCAGCTGTTGCCAAACTACAAATCCCATCATTCCTCTGCCCTTGGGAGTCATGCTTGTAACTGTCAATCTTGCAATGCCTCATGGGACTTGTAGTTTTGGCAACAGCCGGAGAGCTGCCAGTTTGACACCCGTGCGCTAGACAGTGCTGGATGTCCTCCAGCCTGGAAACGGGGCGGAGCTCTATCTGGCTTACTGTGGCTTCTAATGCACATTATGAGAAGCTCACAGTGTGCAAGTGACATCAGAGGAAGCCATTTCAGTCCAGGGGAGGATCCGGTACACCTGTGCAAGGCTGAAGGGCAGGAGCCCGTACAACTGGCCAAGACTGAAGGGGAGGAGCCAGTACACCTGTGCAAGACTGAAGGGGAGGAGCCAGTACACCTGTGCAATACTGAAGGGGAGGAGCCGGTACACCTGTGCAAGACTGAAGGGAGGAGCCGGTACACCTGTACAAGACTGAAGGGGAGGAGCTGGTACACCTGTACAAGACTGAAGGGGAGGAGCCTGTACACCTGTGCAAGCCTGAAGGAGAGGAGCCGGTACACCTGTGCAAGACTGAAGGGGAGGAGCCGGTACACCTGTGCAAGCCTGAAGGAGAGGAGCCGGTACACCTGTGCAAGACTGAAGGGGAGGAGCCGGTACACCTGTGCAAGCCTGAAGGAGAGGAGCCGGTACAACTGACCAAGACTGAAGCGGAGGAGCCGGTACACCTGTGCAAGACTGAAGGGGAGGAGCCCAGTACACCTGTGCAAGACTGAAGGGGAGGAGCCCGGTACACCTGTGCAAGACTGAAGGG